TAGCCTGGTCGTCAACCCAAGACGCGTCTGAGTGCCCAGTGAGGACCACCTCTCGCCGTCCTCCAAGCACGAGCCCCATGCCCGATGTACTGCACAAGTAGCGCAGTACCCTCTTCGCAGCATCCCAGTGCACCTTTCGGTGCCGACCAGGAGCCACGTAGCGGGCCAAAAGGCCAAGAGGGTACGCAAGGTCAGGACGAGTGCAAGTCATCAGGTACATGAGGCAGCCTACTAGCTCTGGGTAAGGACCACTCGGCTCTACGGACTCGTCCGAAGGTGGAGCTGAGAGCGAGTGACCTGTAGCCAGAGGAGTGGACTGTGCCGAGGACCAGGTGAAGCCGAAGCGCTGAAGGACCTGCTGCACCATGTGTGACTGAGTCAGAGTGATGGTGCGACGTGCTCTGTCCCGGGTGATCTGCAAGCCAAGATAGCTGCGCAGCTCACCCAGATCTGTGCACGTGTGTCTCTTCTGCAGCTCCGACTTCACCTGAGCGAGAGCCTCAGTGTCAGCAGTGGAAAAGACCAAGTCGTCGACGTACACGAGGATGTAGAACGGTGGCAGCGAAGTGTCGGTGCGCAGAAACAGCGACGGGTCAGCTGTGGCGTAGATCTCAGCCTCACAACTAGAGCTGAGAACAGAGGAAGAGCGGGTGGACCGCCACGAGACAGAACCTGAGCCAAGGCTGAAGGTGTAACCCTGTGACGACCGCTGCGTAGCCAGGTCGTCCACCCAAGAGGCGTCCGAGTGACCAGTGAGGACAACTCTGTCGCGTCCTCCAAGCACCAGCCCCATGCCTGATGTACTGCACAAGTAATGCAGCACCCTCTTAGCAGCCTCCCAGTGCTCTCGCCTGTGTCTCCCAGGCGCAACGTAACGAGCAAGGATGCTAAGAGGGTACGCGAGGTCAGGTCGCGTGCAAGTCATCAGGTACATGAGGCAGCCTACAAGCTCTGGGTACGGGCCACTCGGCTCTACGGACTCGTCCGAAGGTGGAGCTGAGAGCGAGTGGCTGGTAGCCAGAGGTGTGGCCTGTGGTGAGGAGAACTGGAAGCCGAAGCGCTGAAGGACCTGCTGCACCATGTGTGACTGAGTCAGGGTGATGGTGCGGCGAGCTCTGTCCCGGGTGATCTGCAAGCCAAGGTAGCTACGCAGTTCACCCAGGTCAGTGCAGGTGTGTCTCTTCTGCAGCTCCGACTTCACACGAGCGAGTGCCTCAGTGTCAGCAGTAGCAAAGACCAAGTCGTCGACGTACACGAGGATGTAGAACGGCGGCAGCGAAGTGTCGGTGCGCAGAAACAGTGACGGGTCAGCTGTGGAGGGCGCAAACCCGAGAGCCGCAAGCGTAGTCCTCAGTGTGTCGTGCCACTCACGAGGCGCCTGACAGAGACCGTAGACTGGCCGGCGGAGGCTCCACTGGGTACCAGGAGGGAACGACCCAGTGAAGCCAGGTGGGCGGCGCAGCCATATCTCCTCGTGCAGGCTGCCCTGCAAGAAAGCTGTGCTGAAGTCAAGCGAGTGAAGCTCGTAGTCACGCTGGGCGGCAACGTGCAGCAGTACCCGAAGAGTGGTCATCTTCGGGGTGGGGGAGAAGGTCTGGAAGAAGTCAACCCCCTCTCGCTGACTGAAGCCTCGAGCAACGTAACGTGCCTTGAAGACAGGCGGAGAACCAGGCGGCCGCTTCACCCTGAAAATCCACATGCCACTGACGATGTTCGCCCCAGGAGGGGGAACGTCGTCGACGTAGGTGCCTGTGGACTTCCAGGATGCCATCTCTGCGTCCATGGCTGCCTGCCACTGAGAGGAGTAGGGACCCGCGACCGCCTCAGCGTACGAGCGCGGGGTGGGGATGTCTAGTGCATCCGGGTCTCCCTCAGGGGCAAGCAGCATGGTCACGAGATGAGGCGCAGCGGCTGCAAGACACTCAAGGTCCTCGTGCCTGTCCTCAAGGACGTCCGTGCTAAGAGCACACTCACCCCCGACGGACGGAGGACAGACAGACTCAGACTCAGCGACAAGACTAGCAGCGTAGTCTAGACGACAGGCAGCCGCAAAGTCAACAAGCTCAGCAACCAAAGCAGTCGCAGCAGCAGACTCAAACGAGGGGTCAGTGACAACAGTGGCGAGCAGACGCGTGACAGTAGGGTGCTCAGCACGAAACCGGTCAGACTCAGGGTCCGGAACGTGAGGCAAGGAAGACGCAGGAGGAGACGGCAGAGAAACAGACTGCGGAACAGAGGAAGGACGACGGTGTGCGGTGGGGACAGGCGAGTCTGTGGGAGGGAACGAGGAGGAGTGAGGAGCGGCGCGCTGCCGCCCCTCGACGCAAGGAATGCAGGGCGGCGCAAGCGAGGGAGGCAGGGCAGGCAAAGACCTGGGCAGACCAGAAACCAGGAAGCGAGAGTGCATGCCACGAAGGCGCTGCACCGAGGGGTGACCAAGGCGGTGGTGCCACAGGAGGGTCTGGTGCGACAAAGCGCGACACTCGCAGGGGGCCGTCGGCTGACCGGACGCAGACGCAGACGCAGCTACCTGAGCGGACGCAGTGGTCAGGGTGTACAGACTCGAGCCAGGCGCACGGGAAAACGTGGCCAGGTGTCGGCCGGTCCGAGCACACGTACAGTGAGTCACCCGCTGACTCGCAGGAGTGAACTGGTGCACCCCCTGATCCTGGAGGTCAGCTCCACTCACCAAGTTCGTAGAGAACGAGGGGAGGTAAAGACCTGACAGCAAGCCAGACGGGGCGGCCGGACACGGCAGAACCGTGGAGTAGTGGGCAAGGACCGGACCCCCAGAGGGGTCCGCCAGGGAGACCGCAACCGGCCGACTAAGCGGCGTGAGTGTGGTGCAGTCGCGAAAGAAGGAGCGGGAAGCACCTGAGTCAAGCGTGAAGGTGTACAAGGCCGCAGCAGGCGCAGAACTAGAGAGAGCAGACCCACCAGCACCTGGAGCAGGAGACGTACCGGCACCTAGAGCAGCAGCCTCACCAGCACCCAGAGGAGGAGACGCACGAGCACCTAGGGCAGCAGCCTCACCAGTACCGGGAGCAGCAGGTGCTATACCAGGGTCAGGCGGGACGCACAGGTAACAGGCACGGTCAACACTAGTAGGCAATGCATACATGGCAGTGAGAATAGCATCATAGTCAGGAGCAAAGATATCTACCCTCTGTCCAAGCAGCTCCAGCCAGTCGGGGAGCTCAGCCTCGTCGCCAAACACTGTACGCCAGTCGTCGCTCAGACGGGCGAAGCAGCGGGACTGTGTGTGACCAAGCGTCCCGCAAGGCTGACCAGTCCTATCACCTGTGCGAATGACGTACTGGCAGCGAACTGTACGCGTAGACCTGCTACACTGAGCGTACCACTCGTGGAGCTGCCGGGACGTAAGTGTCTCGCGTGGACGCCGCTGCAGCTGCAGCTGGCCACTGCTAGAGGCCCCCAACTGACCAGCTCCAGGGCGACAGCTACGACGGCTACCGCGACAGCCCCAACTAGTATACCACTCACTAAGCTGCTGGGGCGTGAGAGACTCGCGTGAGCGTTGCTGGAGCTGCATCTGGTCCCTTGCTAAGAGCTAGCAGCAGCAGCAGCTCGGGCAGGGCAGGCGCGGCAGGCCGGCAGACAGGCAGGCCGGCAGGCAGGCAGGCAGGCAGGCAGGCAGGTAGGCAGGCAGGCTGACAGGCAGACAGGCCGGCAGGCAGGCAGGCAGGCAGACAGGCAGGCAGGCAGGCAGGTAGGCAGGCAAGCCGACAGGCAGACAGGCCGGCAGGCAGGCAGGCAGGCAGGCAGGCAGGCTGGCAGGCAGGCAGGCAGGCAGGCAGGCCAGCAGGCAGGCAGGCAGGCAGGCAGGCCAGCAGGCAGGCAGGCAGGCAGGCAGGCAGGCAGTCAGGCAGGCAAAAAGACAGGCAGGCAGGCCGAAAGGCAGGCAGGCAGGCAGGTGCTCACCAAAGGCTAGGAGGGCAGGTGCTCGCCGGGCGAGCAGGGCCGAGTAGGCGCACGACTGCAGCAGCGACGGGGCCGTAGTAGCGACTGTAGAGTAGGGCCGCAGCAACTGCAGGGTGGGGGGCCGCTTCAGCGGCAGTCGCAGAGTGGGGGCCGCATCAGCGGCAGGTCGGGGCCTCGGCAGCAGCAGCGAGGGGCCGCAGCAGCGGAAGGTCGGGGCCGATGCAGCTGCAGGCTATGCAGGGCAGCGCGCGGGGCTGCTGTGGGCCGAGCGCGGGCTGCGGGAGGCAGAAACAGGCCGCGCGCAGCAGCAGCTGGCCGCGCGCGGCTCGGCAGGGACTGCGCGCAGCAGCAGCAGGCCGCGCGCGGCTTGGCAGGGGCTGCGCGCGGCTCAGGGGGGGTCGCGCGCGGCAGCAGCGGGCTGCGCGCGGCTCGGCGGGGCCGCACGCAGCAGAAAACGGGCTGCGCGCGGCTCGACGGGGCTGCGCGCGGCTTGGCGGGGGCTGCGCGCGGCAGATCCGGGCTGCGCGCGGCTCGACGGGGCTGCACGCGGTTCGACGGGGCTGCACGCGGCTCGCTGGGGGCTGTGCGCTGCGCTGACGGCGTGTGAGGGGCAGCAGAGCGGCGCGAGCAGCGAGGGCGACGCTTGAGGCAGCAGCGGGCAGCGTGCGTGACTTAGGTCTGCGCGGTAGCAGCAGCAGACAACACAGTAGGCAGCAGGCAGTAGGCTACAGGCAGACGGCGCGCGCAGCGCAGCACGTCACAGGCACAGGCGTGGGGTAGCGGTAGGTGGGCCCGAAAAAAAAACGGTCCTACGGACCTACTGCTCTGAAACCATGTTAGAATCTAGAGACAGGAATGAATGCATTGATCAAGAGTTGGGTACATAAGCTAACCCTAACATTGGGTTGTACCCCATATGGGCTACCCCACTAGCAGCCTACACAAACACAATATGCATAGTTTGACACATGATCCTTCCAGAGCCTAACTAAATCATGTCACACATGCCTCAGGGTCACAATTATCTTCTGTCGTGGATCAGGCGAGCAGTTGAAAGATCACTTGAAGTAGGTGGATTCAGGGTCACCTTTGATCTTGTCTGGGTATGCTTGGACCCACTTCTGTAACTCAAAATACATCTTCCTATTCTCATCAGGAGGAAGAGATTTCACAAGTTTCCCCTCCTCTCCTATCCCACGCGCTGCAGTGGCATACGCATGGATTCTCACGCACCTATCGATCCGCCGATCCTCATACTCCCGAACCGCAGCAGCCACGGCAGCAGGCTCGGCAAGCACATCCTTGATGTCAGCAAGGCATAGGCACAGCTGGTGAGCATCCTCAAAGGCAGTCTGAGCTCCTTGCCCTGGGCCGGGGTGCATGGCATGTGCGGCATCCCCCATAAGAACAACCCGGTTACCACATTTAGAGTCGCTCCAGGAATCTTTTGGAGGAGGCCGGTCCATCATCCAACGCTCGAAGATGTTACTGGGGTCGGTGGCGGTAACCGCCTGGAGAATGGTATGCCAGGTGTCATGACCTGAAGGGTCTGCAATGTTCTTGTTGATTTGGCACATCAAACGGTCTTTGACACCTGGCTTGCCGAAACCACCGAAGGGTGTTAGCTGGAGCTCGAGGTTGAGCTGGCCATCAGGGTCAGCAGTTTGAACCTGAAATTGGGAAGATGGTTAGGATAGCACAGGTTTTGGAAGTGGTGTATGAAGCGTTGTTGACAAAAAAGAAGTGTGTGTGGTTGCAATGTGGTTGGTTCGCTATGAAAGAATGCAGGATGGAAGTGCCAACATCAATTGTGCGAGCATGTGCAAACAAAAGTGGATATACCAAGAACGTGCTAGCAGAACGGTGTGGCATGGTCGCTGCTGCTGCACCGCACCCGCCTCGTCCGCAATGACAGGTTCTTCCGGAACATAAAAGCTGGAATTTATTATGCCCGTTTTGGGATTCGAACCCACGACCTCAAGCACCACGTCAACCCCTTCCACATCGCCCCCGTCGGCGCCGCGCCATCATTGTTGCTTTTAGATCCACCACTCATGTTCCCAACAGGCTTTCCCGTGACGACGGGGTGATACGCCACGACGCGATGCCCGTGTATAATACTCTCGGGTTGCGTTAAAGACGAGGCGAGTACCTCTTGGGCTCGGGCCCACCCCACGATTGTCTGGTCTCGCACCACTTCCCTCACAACCCAGCCGTCGCGATTTTCGCTGGTCAGTGTAGTAGCAGCATCGTTAGTGGCGGATCCGCTACTATTACCGCCGCTGGTAGCGCAGGCCGATTCAGGATCTATTTTATCCGCCGATATCTCTCGGATAAAAGACTTGGCTTTTATGACCGTTGAACCGCTCGCAATCACAGCGTCGCCGAGCCCTGGCTTTAATCCTTCGAGCGCCTTAAAGCCGTTGGAAAAAACGCCAAGAATCGTGCCGGTGCTGTTGTTCGATCGCCGCGCGGCGGGCGCTGCCTCGAAAACGGCCGCCTCGATGCCGCGCGCCTGCAGACCGGCGGCGAGCGCGAGCCCCGCGATCCCGCCGCCCGCAATCGCCACGTCCACGTGGAATGAGGGCGGCGGAAGCTCCGCCGCCGCCGCAGGGATCAGGTTTGCCGCGTTTTGCGCCGTGTTCGACGCGTTTCTGGCTGCTTGCGGATTGGAGGAACTTCCCCTCGGCTGCTTGAGCCTACTATTGGCGGCCATGCCTGCTTGGTTGTCATAATGAGTGATCCCGGAGGCGTAGTGGCGACGTCGCATCGTCATGCGACGACATTGATCCGTCGTTCCGAATCGCAGGGTCCGAGTCGCACATTTGGAAGCCGTGGCGACAAGAGGAGCAGAGACTGTGACGGCAGGTGGGGCGAGTAGGGCAGCCATAGCTCTGACGAACTGATTCTAGGCGAGTGTGGGCAGGAGAATCTAACTTGTAAGGGGACTACAAATCTCCCTCTTTCGGAGAACGAGAGAGAGAGAGAGAGGGAAATTAGGGGAGCCCCTCTTTTGTGACGACCCGCATGTGTGGCACATTTTAGAGGTTTTAGGCGAAGGCATGGCGGCGAGGAGAAAGCTTTGGGAGGAATCTCGTCAAGGGGTGTAGAGGAGAAGAGTGAAGCAGGCGCGGCTGGCAGGCACTGCCTGACAGCCAAAAGAAGGCAGCAAAAAGTCGGCCATACATGTCCCTAGACAATTTGTGATACTTCGCTGCAGCTCGATAGAATGAGATTCTCAGAGGTGACGTGGTTGTCAGCGATTGGGAGAATATGAAGGAGGTTTTAGGGCGCATTTCGGGCCTCGTAACAAGTGACTTCCGAACAAGTTGGTCGTCGCACACGACCAAACTTGTTAAGAGGTCGCTTTTCGCACCTCCGAAACAAACAGGTCTGTTCACTGACAACATGGGTCGCATATGCATATTGATAGGTCGCAGCCAGTAGGGCGGCATGAAACATCGCAATCTACTACACCTGATGTGCGTTATAGTCCCCCGGGTGGCCCTTGTGCTCTGGGCTTATATCCGATTTCAACTTTTCGCTGAGTTCGTGCGTTTCGCAACCGCCTTGGGGGGTTCTTAAAAGGCACAGACGGTAACACCTTTGTTTTTTCCCGGTACAGTGGCGGGCGGCGTGCTTTGTTGCGAGCTAATGCACATGGTTACCCCCCCTAACGTTTCATTGCAATGCCTTGCAATTACAATCAAACGCCCTAATGGTCACAAACAAGAAACAACCAATAAAACAGCCACACCTGTTCCAACACCCCAACAAACCCACCACCCCCATTCCCCCCCACCCGTACCCGTCCCGTTAATGCAATCACCGTTCACCACAGGTGTGCATGAGTCGTGCACATTTGTGCAAATGCGGAAATGTGTTCCCCGCCGTTGTGGATTTCACAGCCTCATCCACTCAGCCGCCGCGACATAGCCGCCCATCACGGCGGGCGCCCCAGCGTCAATGAGCTCCTACCGGCGAGCAGACTGGGCAATCCAGTCAGGGGTCGGCACCGTCGTCCACGCCGGCAGAACGCGACCACGGCGACGTGGAGTCTCTGCTGGCGGGGTGTCCTCGCACGTCATGACGGGCGCCGGAGCGGCGTTCAGGTTGAGCGCGGGGCTCGCGCGCTCCATCCGCGCGATGATCAGGGGGTTGCGGATGTCAAACAGCGCGCACAAATCCCTCGGCGTGATGCACGTCGCACGGGCGTACCCGATGAGCATCTCGCACGCGGCGCGAGCCGTGCGACGTGCTTCGCGCGTCGCAGGGTTGTTGTCGTCGTACACCGCCTGCATCGACGCAGGCGCCTCCCACACGTGCGCCATGTCCGCCGATGCCGACTCCAGCGCCAAGGGGTCCTCGCCCGGCTCGGCGCACACCGGCTGGTTGTCATCTATGCCGACAAAGTCCGCCGCGGCCATCGCCGACGGCCCGAGGCCGAGGCGGGTCGATCAAAATACCGACGTCGTTCACATCCTCGTCCAGGCCGATGTCGCCGCCATCCGGGAGCTGTGGGTCAGCGGGGAGCTCCACGTCCTGCAGCTCCATCGCCCACGCCCGCGGGAGGCATTCGGTGCGCCACCAGCAGCGCTGGATAGTGCGACGCGGGATGTTCATCCACGCGTCATGCAACCACTCCAGCACACGACGGAGGTTCGGCTTGTACCTCGCCGCCGCCGCGGTCGCGCCATCTGCGGTCCACATGCCGGAGAAGGCGCGGAGCCAGTGCTGGCGGTACCGCGCCTTCGCCATGGCGATCATCCCTTGGTCGAGGGGTTGCGTGAAGCAGGTGGTGTTTGGCGGCAGGTAGACCAAGCGCACGTTGTTGAGCTTCTTCGTGCGGAATCCGAAAATGTCTTCGGTTTCCGCGCCCTCGGTGACCAGGGTGTGGCTGCTTGCGTTGTCGAGCAGCACGACAACCTGGTGTTAAACTGTATTATGCTTGTAGGCTGTAGTGGGGTAGCCAATATGGGGTACAACCCCAACTAGGGTTTGCTACTTGTACCCAACTGTTTCATTCAATGCACTCATTCTTGCCTAGTGATTCTGACATGGTATTCAGAGCAGGAGGTCCCTAGGACCTAACCACCGTTTTTTTTAGGGCCCACCACCGCTCGCATGCGGTTACCACGCTACCCCGTGCCCTAGCCTCGTAGCGCCCTCGTGCGCCCACGTTAGCGCCCTCGCGCGCCCCTCGTTAGCGCCCTCGCGCGCCCCTTCGTTAGCGCCCTCGCGCGCCCCTTGCTAGCGCCCTCGCGCGCCCCTCACTAGCGCCCTCGCGCGCCTCTCGCCGAGCCGCCCGCTCGCAGCCCGCCCGCCCGCTCGCTGCCCGCTTCGCGGCCCGCTCACTACACAAGCTCTCCTCCCGCACGCTTCCCTGTGTCTTCCTTGGCTTTGTCCCTGACGCGCCTGGCTGGCAGTTTTACCACCCCACCTCGCGCCGGGTCTTCGCCTCTCAGGATGTCACCTTTGACGAGTCGGTCCCTTTTTACCGTCTCTTCCCCTACCGCACTGCCCCCCTCCCTCCCCCGCCGCTTTTCCTTGCTCCTGGTCCCCCTCCGGTAGACCCCCTCCCCCCTCAGGGTCCTGCTCCTTCAGGTGTCTCTCAGGTAGACCCTCCTCCCGTCACTGAGCCTGTCGAGGTCACAGGTGACTCAGGTGCTGCTGCGGGTGGTGCTGCTGGGAGTGCTGAGCCTGGGGGTGCTGAGCCTGGGGGTGCTGGGCCTGGGGGTGCTGGGGCTGCAGGTGCTGGGACTGAGGGTGCTGGAGCTGAGGGTACTGTGCCTGAGAGTTTGCCGCCTGGGGGTGCTGCGACTGGGGGTGCTGAGCCGGCGGGTACTGAGCCTGCGGGTACTGAGCCTGGGGGTGCTGCTACTGAGCCTACGGAGCCTCGGGTTACTGCGTCTGGGGGTGCTCCGGTTCGGGGTGCTGAGCAGTCTCTCACACCGCAGCAGCTTCGCGACTGGTACGTCCGCCGCTTTCGCCGTCCTAGTGGCTCGGCTGGAGTTTGGGGTGCTGGAGCTGCTCGTCCTGGGGGTGCTCGTACTGGGGGTACTGGAGCTGTCGGGACTGGCTGTTCTCGGAGCACTGTGACTGGAGCTGCTGGAGCTGGGGACTCTGGCGCTGGCGGTGCTAGCGGAGTTGGAGCTGCCGACTCTGGGGGTGGCGCTGCTGCTGGTGCTGCGGACCCACCTGGTGGAGCTGCTGCTGGTGCTGAGGAGTCGGACGGTGGAGCTACTGCTGGAGCTGGGGACCCGGCCGGTGGAGCTGCTGCTGGTGCTGTGGACCCGGACGCTGGAGCTCCTACTGGTGCTGAGGACCCGGCCGCTGGAGTCCCGTCTGCTTCTGGAGACGCTGCGCGGCCGCGACCGTACTTCGTACCGCTTCTTCAGCAGGTTCTTGGGCAGGCTCCTCCTCCTTGTCCTCCTCCCTCCGTAGAGTGTCCTCTGCCTGTCCAGCCGCAGTCACAGTTACCGCCTGCCTCGCCTCTCCCTGCTCCCTCTCCTTATACTGGTCCCACAGGAGGTCTTACAGAGCGTCGTGAGCCTGAGTCTCGTCCTGCGTCGCCTGTTCGTTCTGCTCGCACTGGTAGTCGTGTCCGTCGTGAGCGTCCTCCTCCTGTCCCAGGCACTCACTACATGACTCTGCGTCCCTCTACTGCTCCTCGGCGTGTCCCTCTACCGTCTCCTCCTGCGTCCTCTTTGCCTGCCGTTCCGGACCCTGAGTCTGACCGGTATCGCGCTGAGCACCCTACAGTCACGCGTCTCCTTGCTACTGTTGTCACTGACCCCACCTTTGAGTCCTCGGCTGCGTCTGCTCTGGTCGCTGAGTTGGTTGACTTTGCTGCTGCCTGTCGTCTAGACTACGCTGCTAGCCTTGTCGCTGAGTCAGAGTCTGCGTCTGTCTGTCCTCCGTCCGTCGGGGGTGAGTGTGCTCTTGGCACGGACGTCCTTGAGGACAGGCAGGAGGACTTTGACTCTCTTGCGGCTGCTGTACCTCATCTCGTGGCCTGGTTGCTTGCCCCTGAGGGAGACCCGGATGCCCCAGACATCCCCACTCCGCGCACTTACGCAGAGGCGATCTCGGGTCCCTACTCCTCTCAGTGGCAGACAGCCATGGACGCAGAGATGGCATCCTGGAAGTCCACAGGCACCTACGTCGACGAGATTCCCCCTCCTGGGGCGAACATCGTCGATGGCATGTGGATTTTCAGGGTGAAGCGGCCGCCAGGTTCTCCGCCTGTCTTCAAGGCTCGTTACGTTGCTAGAGGCTTCAGTCAGCGTCAGGGGGTCGACTTCTTCCAGACCTTCTCCCCCACCCCGAAGATGACCACTCTTCGGGTTCTGCTGCACGTTGCTGCTCAGCGTGACTACGAGCTTCACTCTCTTGACTTCAGCACAGCGTTCCTGCAGGGCAGCCTGCACGAGGAGATCTGGCTGCGCCGCCCACCTGGCTTTACTGGGTCGTTTCCCCCTGGTACCCAGTGGAGTCTCCGCCGGCCAGTCTACGGTCTCCGCCAGGCGCCACGTGAGTGGCACGACACACTGAGGACTACTCTTGCGGCTCTTGGGTTCGCGCCGTCTACTGCTGACCCGTCGCTGTTTCTGCGCACTGACACGTCGCTGCCGCCGTTCTACATCCTCGTGTACGTCGACGACTTGGTCTTTGCTACTGCTGACACTGAGGCACTCGCTCGTGTGAAGTCGGAGCTGCAGAAGAGACACACCTGCACTGACCTGGGTGAACTGCGTAGCTACCTTGGCTTGCAGATCACCCGGGACAGAGCTCGCCGCACCATCACCCTGACTCAGTCACACATGGTGCAGCAGGTCCTTCAGCGCTTCGGCTTCCAGTTCTCCTCACCACAGGCCACACCTCTGGCTACCAGCCACTCGCTCTCAGCTCCACCTTCGGACGAGTCCGTAGAGCCGAGTGGCCCGTACCCAGAGCTTGTAGGCTGCCTCATGTACCTGATGACTTGCACGCGACCTGACCTCGCGTACCCTCTTAGCATCCTTGCTCGTTACGTTGCGCCTGGGAGACACAGGCGAGAGCACTGGGAGGCTGCTAAGAGGGTGCTGCGTTACCTGTGCAGTACATCAGGCATGGGGCTGGTGCTTGGAGGACGCGACAGAGTTGTCCTCACTGGTCACTCGGACGCCTCTTGGGTGGACGACCTGGCTACGCAGCGGTCGTCACAGGGTTACACCTTCAGCCTTGGCTCAGGTTCTGTCTCGTGGCGGTCCACCCGCTCTTCCTCTGTTCTCGGCTCTAGTTGTGAGGCTGAGATCTACGCCACAGCCATGGCTGCACAGGAGTTACGCTGGCTCACCTACCTGCTGACTGACTTGGGAGAGCGGCCTAGTTCTCCTCCAGTTCTGTACGGTGACAACAAGGCGGCTCTTGCCTTGTGTCAGGAGCACAGACTGGAGCACAGGACGAAGCACATTGCTCTTCGCTACTTTCTTGCTCGAGAGCTTCAGCAGCGCGGTCAGCTTCGGCTTGTGTACGTGGACTCGAAGGCCAACACTGCTGATATCTTCACCAAGGCGCTCCCGCCTAGTGATCATCAGCGGCACTGTACTTCTTTAGGCCTTGTGTCCACGTTTCCTCACTTGCTCACTGCTTGACATTCTTTGTACTGTACTTTATATATATCTTGTTGCTTGCTTGCTAGGTTTTGATCACTGTGTTGCTTGTCTTGTACTATATCTAGCACTGCATGTGAACTGGCCTTGTGGCCTTTACTTGTGCTCGGAGTGTGGTGACGTTGTGATCCACCCTGGGCTTTGTTTTGCTTTGCTGGACTGGTCTTGTGACCCTTTGTTCTCCCCCACTTTGCCTATGGGGGTGTGTTAAACTGTATTATGCTTGTAGGCTGTAGTGGGGTAGCCAATATGGGGTACAACCCCGACTAGGGTTTGCCACTTGTACCCAACTGTTTCATTCAATGCACTCATTCTTGCCTAGTGATTCTGACACCTGGCGGCCCTCAGCGTACATGGCGGTGTCAAACTGCTCAAAGAAGTGCGTGAATAGCTGCACCGCACGGGGTACGGGGAAAGTCAGGGGGGTTGGGGGGGGGGGGGGGGGGGGGGGGGAGATTAGAGATGGCTTCATACACCGTGGGGGGATAATGTTTCATAGCGGTGTACAACTTGTGTGCGTTAAGATGAACTTACCGCCTTAGTCATCCACCCCTTAGCAGTGTTGCGCCAGTAGAAATACTCCTCGGGGTCGAAATTCGGCCTGAAATCATGGGGCCGCTTGGCCTTGGAGATGACGAGCGGACGGAAGGCGTGTGTCCCCTCCGCGTTAACCAAGAAGCCGACGGTGAGGCGTTCCTTCGGGAGCTTCCGCCCGGCAGCCCTGCCCGTGCCGTACGTCTTGCGAGGAAGCACGCTGATGTAAAGCGCCGTCTCGTTAAAATTGTAAGTGTCACGCGGTCGCACGCCGAGATGCATGAGAAGCTGCGGAAGCTTCTCCTTTGTCGTGCGTACGGCATTCATATCCTGGTCGGCCGCGTCGCCGACGGCACTCATGCAGCGCACACCCTGGCGGCGCAGCGCACGGCGCACCCAGCCGATGTTACAACGGAATGTCGGAGGCGCGCCGTTCGCTTGCGCCATCGTCGCGACATGGTCGCGGATCGTCGCGAGGGTGAGCGGGACGCCGGCAGGGCCTGCGTTGGCAATCCAGCGTGCCATCGCGCGCTCCAGATCGGGGAATGCCCCGCCTCGGACCCGAATAGCGTCGACGGTGTCGTCAGGAATCCGCCATCGGTCGGCGCCTTTCAAGACACGACCAATGGTCGAGCGGTTGGGCCTGACACCAAAACGCGTGAAACACCAACGCGCGAGGTCTACTTGGCGCAGCAGGGGGTTCGCCACATGATGGGCACAAATCGCCCGTTTGATGTGCAGCGCGAGCTGAGACCTATGGTAAAGGCGACGCATTTTGTGCCACGGATGAGTCTTAGTTAGATTGATCTGTCTGTGGTTTGTCGAGTTGATTTATGTGCGGGCTGTGAAGTGGCGTTGTGCCTCAATGTGTTTCAGGGGTGTGCGAGGTTTCGCACAAGATGCGCGCACCAGATGCTCATGCATCTGCCGGCGTTTGTAGAGGTTAGGGGACAAGGGAACCACAGCCACGAACCGTGACGTGTGCTGTTTGCAGACAGTGAGGCTCTCAGGGGGCATGTACCGAGCAAGGGCAATGTACAGGTGGACATTTTCGCACAGCCACAAACTGTTAGACGCACCTGGGTGATGCACATGTGGCATGACGTAACGTGATGTTTGTTTGGCGACGTTTTACGAATGCCGTCCAACCGTTTCGTAGCTTCTGTTTCTGGCTTAAAAACAAGGTCCGGCCCGGACGACAATGGTCGTCTTTTGCTGTGTTGCCAGGTTTGGAAGTGTTCACAAGGTAGATGCAAGTGGTCTCAGGTGCTTATACCCTAGGTGCATCGTCAGGGCAAAAAACCCACGGGGGTAAGGTTTCCTATTTGTGCAAGGCTTTTTCGCGTGCAGGGGGTGAGCATCATGTGTACGACCTTCCACCTCCAGAATTTGACAGCCGCACCAACCGTATTCGGTTGGCGCTGCCCTAAATTTTACATTTTTGGTAGCAGAGGTAGATCTCCCCCATAGAGATCCCAACCCTTACTCGATTGCATTGAAATGTGCCCACTTTAGGGCGCGTCCCCTCCCTCGATCGATCCTGCCCTCGATCGATCGAGGGACATATACAGTGTCGCAATTTACAAATTTCGAGACGGCTTGCGAATGTACAGTAACTGGCGCTCAACGATCTTGTCACCTCTGCTGATGACGATCGATGTGCCTTCCTAAACACACCGATCTCGGCTTTTGTAGGATCGAGTGTTTTTCCCCCTTGTATTTTCGATCCTGTCACCCAAGGCTCAAGATCGATCCGCGAGTGTCACCTCCTGCTAATCCTCCCCCCCCCAATCCTGCGATCGGTGTGCCCGATCGGTTTTTTACAGCGATCTCGCGATCGATCGAGGGAGGGGACGCGCCCTTACTCTTCCCTTAAATTTTCAAGGGCAGCACTGATTTTTGAGAATGACGGGAAGCGGTTGTCTGGTGGCATGTTGACGGTGCATGACCGCTGACACTTGATCGCAACCGTTTGATATGCCTCCAGTGGCTAAAACAGAGCTATTACGAGGTCCAGGTCGCAGAAATTCGCCCAACGTCGTTAAGGATTGGAAGGCAGTCGCTTGTTACGAAGTCGCCTGTTCGTATACTCATGAAATGCGCCCTCAGTATTGCGAATCCCAAAACGCCGTGTGAGGCCTGCGTTTCTTGTCTCCCATCGTGGGTTTTGCAAATCGTGCTGTACCGTTGCGGGGAAAGCTACTATGGGCCAGGCTTGTCACTGAGATAGTGAGAGATTGACGTGCGTGTGACGTGTCAATCGTGGCGGAGAGAAACTCGAGAGGGAGAGGGAGCATCTATGGGAGGAATGCGGGGAGTAGGAGGTAGTTAAGTTGGAGTATTGTACAATTCTAGTGTAACTTTCATCGGAATGGGAAGAGAAGTCCAGACGGCGAGAAGCGATTTGGTTGGTTTGGGAGGGTTGTAGAGGGGTCGTGAGGAGGGAACCTGGGATTGTCTGTGAGTACACCGCTGTACTAAACCTTTACTATTTCAGTTTCAACAACAAGTTCAAAGATAAACTGTATCTTTGCATATTAACTGCTGTATCTTTGTACCTGTTTGCAGTCATGCATCGTCAGAAAAAAGATGCAAACCATGCTGTCTGCAGCACCAGGAGTCGCCAATGAAGTCATGCAATCCACCTAAGTAATGCTATGTTGTATGATACCGGTAGAGGCAAACACTACCGTATAATAGAAGGCAGTTATATAGAGTTACCACATAATATATCAGCTACTAGGTGCCGGACCGGACTACCTAATGTTAATTCAGTGTTGCTCCAGACGAATGGCTTTTGTTAGTCAAAGGCTGTGCGTCCGGCCGGCCTAGTCAACAGTTGATTATAAATATTTATAATGGCCGCAACGCAAGCCTTCAACAGAGTGGTGCTCTTCTGGAGGCTGGCTGCAAGCCGAAGCACGACTCGGTTAATGGCCGCATGCAGCTGTCCGTCAGTAACTTCTTAGGCGCCCTCTAAGTCAGATGCACGCTGCAGCCATTACTCCCTTTCGTCACACAGTCAGTAATACTGTGGTAATCCATTCACCATGATCTGTGTTGCAATGGAAGGTCAAGGACCCCTTCCTCCATTCTCTCTGTCAATGCAGTTGCATTTCGTGTCCTATCGTGCATTGCAAGCAGAGAAATCCACAGGGCTGAACTGAGCAACACCCTTCAGATGAGAATTTCCTCTTGTTATGAACCACTGAGCTGTTTTCTCTCTTGGCCCAAAGACGTGTTTGTCAGCAGTGTGGCCGACCGACACAACAGCAATGGCGTGGCGTGGACTCTTAAAAGTACCGATACACTTGCATTGGGTCGCTCGCCTCAAAACACGGCGTTTGGTAAAATGGAAGTATGGTACCAAGTGTGCTGCTGAATATAATGTGCTGTTGGAGCCCTAGATAGTCAGTCTACATTACAACCAATGCTCCTAAACGTTTCTCAGCGCGTTCCAGTAATTCCCAGAGCTTTCAGTATCAGTGTAAAGCTGCTGCTGCTGCTGGCAGCCACAGAAATGCATAGGAAGTCAGCTGAACAAAAAGCAGCGGCCGCGAACTGCTATTCTTGGAGAGTGCTTGCAGTGCGTGTGCGTTGCTGTGGAAAGATTGAGGTTCTGAAAAGCCTGTGGTCAAATCCCAAACACGATGTGAAGATTGGTAGAAATGTCAAATGTTTCTGGAGGGGCAAGAAGCGGAGACGCAATCAGTTGAGGTAGCCTCAACACCAGTGAGAGGATCATAGACGGAATGGGTGGGAGGAAGAGGAGAGGAGAGGAAAGCGGGGTGGTGTGGGTAGGGTTGGTTGGGGAGAGGAGCACGGAATGGGTGGGAGGAGAGGGCGTGGAGTGGGTGGGGTTGGTGGTATGGACGAGTGGGACAGGAGAGGTGGGAAGTGGATGAAGCAGACTGTTTTTTAGGATTCTCAAAAACAATCTCCTAGAGTTTTGGGGGTTTACCGGGGTGGGGTTGGTGGTATGGAAGGGTGGGACAAGGGAGGTGGGAAGTGGATGAAGTAGGTTGAGAGCGGAAGAAGTGGGCTGATGGATGGAAACTGTTTGAGATAAAAAATGGTAACATTTGAAACCTAAAATGGTTCACTTTTGCAAGGCATGATGAAACAAAGACGAAGCATCGATATAATGAAACAAAGATGGAAATAAAATATGGTAGCGCGTGACTCTCAAAAGTCAGCCGTGTATTTTCCTTCCAGGCATACGTTTTGAGGCGCCTCAAAAGTGAGCTGTGTATTTTCCTTCCACGTATACCACTATCCATCGCTTCTGCTGCTGCTCACATTCTCACTATGACAGAGCACGTATGCACATCCACACATACACACATCCCTCCCCACCAGAGTGACAGGCGAACTGGTTGGGTTTATCCCTTGTTTAATTAGTTTGCCAGAGCGATAGGTGTTGGTGCACAAAAAATGTTCGATTTTCGAGCCGGAAATCTTGGTTTCATCTCTTTGAGAAGCAGAGCAGAAGCTCACGTGTAGCCGTAACTGAGCTCCTCCCCCCCCTTGGATCACAAGTTGTGCAAGTGTGGAGCAAGGAGCAGACCAGGCCACAAGAGACTTACTTTCTGTAGAGGCAGAGGCACGGGATCTTGGCATCATCTTCGATAGAGAGGTTGTAGTTGTAACTAAGCTCCTCACCCGCTTGGAGCACCGCTTGTGAACAGCACTAACTAGAAGCAGAAGAGACGAGACTCACTTCTTTGACAGGCAGAGGCAGGGAATTGTTCGCATCATCCTCTAAGGGGAACTTGTAGTTGTACCTGAGCTCCTCCCCCGCTCCCCGAAGCACGAGTGGTGTGTGGGCAAGACCAGGCCAGGCATGTGGGAGCAACGTTTAGGGGCAAAAAAGAGGGCACCCACCTTCTGGAGACGCAGAGGCAGGGGATCTTGACATCATCCTCGTTGGGGAACAGGGCTGTTGCTACCAGGGCGTTTGCCTTGTTAGACCTTGAATTCTAGGGCCGGGTTGCCCTTGAAAACTGAAATTGTGGGGTTGAAAAATTTCTGGCCCTGATTCCTTACAGGGCCGATTTTGGTCTTAGGCCATGTGAGTAAAGGGTAGATCTTAGGCGAACCCTGGAACAAATCTTTCGAGCCCCCACCCCTCCCCCCTCCCAACTCCTCCACTCCCCCCTCCCATCTGTTTCTACCCTGGTTGCATCAAACCAGGCAAATTTGGCGTTGCGTGGTTGGGCGAAACACTCAACTCAACCTTGTTGTATTACTTGCTGAGTGCACTGTAAACTTTGAAGCTGAAATGAGGCTGCAGATTGTTTCGCGCCAAACCGGATTCAAGGGAGAAAAAACTCCAGCCCTGAAGCCTAAAGGGCTGAGATTCGCCCCAATCCTGCTAAATAAAGGGTCGTACACGCCGGGCCCCCTGATTTGTCCGGGGGCCCCAAAACCAAACGACAGCCCTGTTGGGGAACTAGTAGTCGTAACGTGACTGAGCTCCTCTCTCACTTGAATCACAAGTGGAGCACCTTTGAGAGCTACCAGCA